ACTCATATCAGATAAAATAGTCTTGAAATAAAGAATGTTACAAGAGACAAGGAAGGACACTACATAATGATCAAGGGACCAATAAAGGGAGAAGATATAACAATTATAAATATATATGCACCCAACATAGGAGCACAATACATAAGGCAATGACTAACAGCTATAAAAGAAGAAACTGGCAGTAACACAATAATAGTGGGGGACTTTAAACCTCACTTACACCAATGGACAGATTACCCAAACAGAAAATTAATAAGGGAACAGAAGCTTTAAATGACACAATAGACCAGAGAGATTTAATTGATATTTATAGGACATTCCATCCAAACACAGCAGATTACACTTTCTTCTCAAGTGCACATGGAACATTCTCCAGGATAGATCACATCATGGATCACAAATCAAGCCTCAGTAAATTTAAGAAAACTGAAATCATATCAAGCATCTTTTCTGACAACAACACTATGAGATTAGAAGTCAGTTACAGGGGGAAAAGTATAAAAAACACAAACACACAAAGGCTAAACACTATGTTACTAAATAACCAAGAGATCACTGAAGAAATGAAAGAGGAAATCAAAAAACACTTAGAGACAAGTGACAATGAAAACACAATGATCCAAAGCCTATGGGATGCAGCAAAAGCAGTTCTAAGAGGGTGCTGTAGAGAGTGTAGGGTAAAGGGAACCCTGTTGCACTGTTGGTGGGAATGTAAATTGATACAGCCACTATGGAGAACAGTATGGAGGTTTCTTAAAAAACTAAAAATAGAATTAACATATGACCCAGCAATCCCACTACTGGGCATATACCCAGAGAAAACCATAATTTAAAAAGACACATGCACCCCAATATTCATTGCAGCACTATTTACAATAGCCAGGACATAGAAGTAACCTAAATGCCCATCAACAGACGAATGGATAAAGAAGATGTGGTACATATATACAATGGAATATTACTCAGCCAGAAAAAGGAACGAAACTGAGTCATTTGTAGAGACGTGGATGGATCTAGAGACTGTCATAAAGAGTGAAGTAAGTCAGAAAGAGAAAAACAAATACCCTATATTAACACATATATGTGGAACCTAGAAAAATGGGAAAGATGAACCGGTTTTCAGGGCAGAAATAGAGACACAGATGTAGAGAACAAACGTTAAGGACACCAAGGGGGGAAAGTGGCGGGAGTTGGGGTGGGATGAACTGGGCAATTGGGATTGACATGTCTACATTAATATGTATAAAATGGATAACTTATAAGGACCTGCTGTATAAAAAAATAGATAAAATTTTTTTAAAAACTTATAAGCAAAAGAATCTGAGAAAGAATATATATATATATATATATATAAAACTGAATCACTTAGCCGTACACCTAAAACTAACACAATGTTGTAAATCAACTATACTTCAATAAATAAATAAATAGATAGATAAATAAAGTACAAACTTTCAGTTATAAGAGGAATACGTTCTGAGGAGCTAATGTTCAGCAAGGGAACTACAGTTTATAATGCCGTATTGTATACTTGAAAGTTGCTAACAGAGTAGATCTTAAGTGTTCTCACCACACACACAGACAAAATGTGATAACTAAGATAATGGATGCGTTAATTAACTTGATTATGGTAATCATTTTACAATGTACATGTATATCAAATCATCTTATGCAACTTAAATATATGAAATTTTATTTGTCAATTATGCCTCAATAAAGCTGGAAAAAAAAATGAACCCCTCACTGCAGAGTCATCTCAAGTGAGATGCATTTGAATGAGAAGCTAATGCATGAAGCAAGAACTGAGAGCAGAAAGAAGATGGGTCAAGAGGACAGGAGGGAGAAGCAATCAAAAATAGAGGTAAAAATGGGCTGGGGTGAAGTTTTGGGTTCTTTCTGACTTCAGTTTCACTGCAAGGAGGCAAGGAGCGGTGGGTGTGTGTAAGGTGGCAAGGCTGAGGGAAAAATGTGGAGAAGGGAAAGAGAAAGCCTAAAAATAGTAATAATGATTTGGGGAATTGGATATGACAAAGCACTTCTTTGGAAAGTTGGATTCCTTTCTACCTTCTTTTGATTCATCACACTGATTCTGCCCTTTAAAAGAACTGAAATTGGGACTTCCCTGGTGGCACAGTGGTTAAGAATCACCTGCCAATGCACGGGACACAGGTTCAAGCCCTGGTCCGGGAAGATCCCACATGCCGCAGAGCAACTAAGCCCGTGTGCCACAACTATTGAGCCTGTGCTCTAGAGCCCGAGAGCCACAACTACTGAAGCCCGTGCCCCTAGAGCCTGTGCTCCTCAACAAGAGAAGCCACCACTATGAGAAGCCCACGCAATACAACGAAGACCCAATGCAGCCAAAAATAAATAAATAAATTTATTTTTAAAAAATTTTAAAAATAAAAGAACTGAAACTGACCACAACTGATTATTGATTATTAATAAGGATATCATAGAGACAGCTCATAGAAAATAAATGTACTGCCTAAAAGGTCTTCCATTGGCTTTCCCGAGCAGCTAGCCCCAACCAAAGACAATTATTAATATGTTGCTTAGCTTGTATCTTTCCAAAAGTGATAGAAAGGCCAACAGTTATAAGCTCAATATTTACAGCAATATAAACCCTACTAAATAAGTTCTATACCTTAACATAATGATATAGTTTAACTCCTGTAAAATTAACGTACAGAAAAATTTACTTTTAAGTCAATCAAAAAGCCATTTCTATATACTGCATAGAATTACAAACTCTTATTATCTTTGATCTGAAGAGAACTCAGAAATAACCAGATCAAATCTCTCTTTGTGCTTTATTTTTTATTTATGATAAAATGAAGTGCTTCTTTAAAAAAAAAAGAACGTATATATGTACTGTGGTTGGAATATTTGAGGAATATTCTATACTTTTATTAACATCTATGGCTTAAAATAGGATTTTGTATTTGGGACATAATAAAGAATAAATAAAAGTTCTTTGGGAGAGGATTTGAATGTGTTTTTCATATTTACTCCGGTAGAATGTTGCCATTAATAACCTTCAAACCTCTTCTCTCTCCAAGGAGAGAGGCACTGTGTCCGTAGCTGTTACTGAGCATCCTGTTTACAGCTGATCTCCTTATAAACCTGGAGGTATTGTACTTGCCACATCACAGCGGCAGACACGTGTGCAGGCACTAACATCCTGTGTAGATTTGAGTTTCCAACATTACCACACTGTGTTCTATGAATAAGTGGGAGAATTCTCTCACAGGAGTTCAAACAATTGGCCATCACACCTTTTTGAAGTTCATCAAAATCTTTTTGTTTTTCAAAGACTTTCCCAATAAAGGAACAATAGAGACTAGAGTTTTCACACAATCATTTTGGCTGTTAGAAGTGAACAAACACAATAGCTGTTTTGTCATAAATTAACATTTATGTCATTTAAGAGCCTTTGGTGGAGATTTGAAGAAAATGAAAAAAAAAAGGGCAATGATCTAATTTTATTGTTCTTCATTTTCTTCAAGCCAAATTGCAGAAATCCCTCTGTTCATTTAGGGGGAGAACAAGAGAAAAGGAGATGAATATCTCTTTGAAAATGTTTTTTCTAATACAAATTTCAGAAATATCTCCAAACGCTAGCTTACAGAGGCACAGACTTTCTCAGATTCCCTACACTGACTTAAATGTTAGGATCGGTTATTCCCAAAGCATGCTTTTGGCATACAAAAAAAGCAATTAACTCCTTCAGTAAATTACAACCTAATTATTATAGAAAAAAGTTTTTGGGCTTCATAAGTCCGGACACTAAGTGAGGCTGTGACACAACTCCTATTAGAAGTGTTACGGAACATATTCCCCTAGTCTGAACAAAGCCCGGTTGCAATGCCTTCCCGCTCAACACTGGTCCTAGATAAAAGAAGCCACCAACCTGCAATGAGAGGAAATAAGTCATCATTACTCTGTCTAAAATTAAAGTACCTATTCCTGCTTTACAGTTTATCAGATGTTTGGTCCGGAAGCTGATTGTTTTACAAGTCTGTCTAAACATAGTATATTTCCTAAAGGAATGTTAGCAAACTAAACACTTGCTTCAAGTTACAACTTCATAATTTTATTAACATAGCTAAGATAAATGAGTGAACAGACATGATGCTAGTCAGTATACGTATACCCCAGGAAAGCAAAACTTATGCCAGAATACAATTTATGCTTTTTATTGTAAATTATTAATTATCAGCTACAACAAAGATTTACCTAGTGCTAAATTCTTGGAATTGAAAAACATTAACCTTCCAATCATGTGCATAAAGTTACTAACTGCCCTTTTTTCTAGTTCCTGATGAAATTATTTATATAGCAGTGAACAAGAACGAATGAATTTGATCAAACAAATAAATATCAGAGCCCTGTCCCCTATCACTTCTTACACATACTTGTGGTTTGGTTTTCTACTGAAGAACAACTTTTAGTGATGGAAACTTGTGTAAGTCATGGTATTTATTTTTTCAGGATTGTTTTTATGCTGTAAATTGAAAAGAAATGCATTTTTCTGGGTTGAAGTTTTTGCCATTGCTCTAATTTTATTTTAAGTTCCCCATACTTTCTGCCTCTTCCTGAATAAAGAAAAAGTATTCTGCTGAAGTTTATATTCAGCACATGAGTAAAACATCTTTTGAAGAAGCTCAAAATAACAAAGGGAATACTGAAGGGGTAATGGCTCTGACTCCTACAGTTATTTAGACTTATAAAGCAAATTAAATAGATCGATGTGTGTGGTAAGGGATCTTAAGATATTTTTAATGAAATAGAGATTAGCCGATCCAGTGGGTAAATACCATTCTAGAGTGTGTTTTGGTAAACTGGAGAAGGATTTTAATAATGTTGGTCAGTAAAGCACCATTTAGTTCTTTGGAGTTACTTTAAGTAACTAATTTTTTCAAAACATCAATTGTGCAATGCCACTGAGTCATTTAGGAAATTATGAGCCTGAATCCTATAAGATGCCACCAGGTCCAATAAATATTATGCTTTTCTTCCTCATCTCTTTCAACACATCTGCACGTCTTCATGGTTTGAAGGTCATCCAGCTGACATATGAGTAAGCATTGCTAATCCTATAATAAATGATTGATTTGTTATGATTTTAGTTTTCTTATAATTGATTTTAGTTTTCTTCTTTTCACTTAATAATTCATGCAGAATTTTGGTCTTTTGTTTATTCTGGTTTACTATATGATCTGATGAGACAATGCTCATACAACTTACAATTTGAGTGTTGCCTTTCATTCAATTAGCCAAACTGTTAAAATAAGCTACAAGTAGCTGCAAGAGTCACTGTAGTCAGAAGACTATCTTTTTCTTAGAAAGGTATTAAATAGTTCATGGTATGACTTTTGAAGTGTCATTAATAGTTGGCAAGAGCAATATAAATGATATCATATACATTTTTAAATGTTTAAAATTTATTAGGACTAACATTTTACTGTGAGAAAAAGAACCCAAAATGTTAGACAAAAAAGAATAAAATATCTATAGAAATGTTAACGTATAATTTTTAATCTATTTTTTATTGAAGTAGAGTTGATCTACACATAATTCTTAAACCACTTGGAAAATTCATGTGAGTAGTCTATGTCTGAACTCTTTTTTTTTTTAGTTAACTAGATTTAAGTTGAGTTATAAACAACTAACTAACTGTTTTTTGGGCTAAAAAAACAGCTCAGGAAGCTCAGTTTTAATATGCTTTGTTTTCTTTGATTCATTAATCATAATGTTGGCATTTGATACTAGGCTCTAAGGCCTTCATCTAGACTTCAGAAATATTACTAATAGGCAAAAAGCACATTCTTACACATACCAGTAGGTCATCAATGCAGAAAGCAATTATTAAATACCTGTTGTATGTGCTGCACGAATGCCTTGGAAATTGGGTACAAAGGAAGTAAAAGACACTGCTCTGTCTTGGAAGAATTTCTAAACTCTTTGGCATAAAAGAATGAGTGGCTTTCATTGCCTCTTCTTCCTCTGACGATTTCTTAAATGCAGCTCACATTTTCTTCTCTTTTGCTCTGTATCTTCCACAGGTATCAGTAACTTTTCCCAGAAAGTCTAAGACCCAGGGCTCCAACATACCACACATAAGGTAATGTGTCCAAAATCTTTATTTCTTGTACCCCAAATTTATTCAACCTTCAGGGTTGTGTTTCCCTTTGCCTTCTGAATAAATCCATGTTTGTGTCCCCCAAGCTCTTGAAGAGATGCAAGTTGATGTATCCTCTCTACACATGCCAACCTGTTTCTTCTACTTGCCTTAAGTTTGTTAGTGGCTCACAAAACTAGGAAATCTGGAGTCCTTCTCACTCATATCACATGACTAAGATCTATCTAGTCTCCCTCCCTTCTTATTTCGAGGTCCAGGGACCTATGGCAGATTTCATCAACTTGCATTTAAATTACTGGGGTAGCGTAGCTGGTCTCCCTGCCTCTAGTATCTCCCTTCTTCCTCTTACCTAAACACAGCATCTGAGTTATTTTTCTAAAATTCAGATATGATCACTCATGTAACTCCCACGATTAAAAGCCTTTTATGGCTCCCATGTGCCTGCAGGACAAATTTCAAAATCTTTATCTTGTTATAAAGCCTCTTTCTTGCTTAGCAACAGTTTGTACTTCCAACCACTTCCCCATTTTCTCTTTTCCCACAAATTATACCTGTTTCTGCTACAGTATCTCAATTTTTGGAGCACATTAGAATTATCTGTGGAGCTTTATAACATGCAAATTGCAGGACTCCTGAACCAAATCTTTTTAGCAGAGCTTGGGAATCATTCATTCTCACTATTAATCTGTCCTGGAATACCCTCTTGGGGGTTAGCCCCTACCCTTCTTGTTCTTTTAGCAAAATTTCCACTTATCCTTTAAGATCTTGCTCCAGTAATTTTTACTCAATATCTTTCCTGTCCACCACACAGAAAAGAAGTCACTCCTTAGTCATTGTGCCCATAAGACTTTAAATATTATTCAAGTACATAGATTTATAAATTATTTGTGTTAAAACTATATCCCTCATCTCCCTTCCTGTTTTATGATTCCCCACAGTATTTATCATCATCTAACATATTATGTATTTTACTTATTTATTTCTTTATGCCTGTTTCCACCCTCTAGTGTGTATGCTCCATTGCACAGATATTTTTCCAACTCTCTAATTAAAGAAAAATATCAAACAAAAAAATTGTTTTTTTTAAATTGAGGTATAGTTGATTTATAATATTATATTAGTTTCAGGTATACAGCATGGTGGTTTAAAATTCCCTGTGCTGTACACTATATCCTTGTAGCTTATTTATTTTATACATAGTAGTTTGTAACTCTTATACAAAAAAAAGTCTAAAGAATTATACAATGAACCCTCTTCTACTCATCACTTAGAGTTGATGATTGTTAACATACTTTAATTATTTGCTTTACCTATCTGGAAAAAGATGCAAATAAGTGCTTAAAATTTTTATAAAATAAATACAGATAGTACCCTCTAATTATAGGCAATTATCTCACAAATATACCACTTGATCACAAAGGAGAACTCTTGAAAGATTTTAATAGGATCAATTTGAAAATATTCCTGAATTGTGTGATAGCAAGTTGTATACATCCTGACACTTCTCTTCTAAATATGTCAGCAAGCATATCTTAAGATAAAGCATTTTATATAACCATAGTAATTATCACACCTAGAAAATTAATAATAATCCCCTCATATTGGCTACTATCTAACCCATTATAAAATTTCCTTGATTTTTAGTAGTTAGGATTTGTGTATTTTTTTAACTTTTTATTTTATATCGGAGTATAGTTGATTAACAATGTTGTGTTAGTTTCAGGTATACAGCAAAGTGATTCGGTTATACATATATATGTATCTATTCTTTTCCCAATTAGGTTATTACAGAATATTGAGCAGGAGAATTTCTGTATGTTTTCTTCACTGCTGTATCTCCAACAGCCCAAATAATGACTGGCATATAGTAAACCCTTAACTAATAATTTTTAAATGGATATATTTGTATCCCTGATTAAACTGAGGTGTGTGAAGCCAGAAGCTTTGTATTATTCACCTTTTTTAATCCTAAGTCCCTAACATGGTACCTGGAGCATGGTTGGAGCTTCATTAGGTGTTTGTACAATTTAATTGAAAAGAAGGGCACATTGCATAAATTTTAGCTTTGAGACTTGAAGTGACATAGAATTAAGGCACAATCAAGAGAGAAAATAATTCAGGAAAAACAAACAAAGCTAATGTGTTTGAAGAAGAGAGTTTGGATCCAAGTCTTAAAGGAAATGGTGTCTCTCAGCACGGCACAGAAGAAATCTCTTTTCCTCACATACAGATAATTTTTTCTGACCTTAGGGAGTTATCTCACAAACATAAGATCTTGATCACAAAGAACCTGTGAGAGATAAAGAAGGCTCAATTTCTGTCACCACTGTTGAAGAAATCTACTCAAGACCATGCCATAAGATGAAGAAATAACTATCACCTTCAGTAGATGAGAGATGGCAACACTTTCGGAATATTTTGTATCAGACCATAAAAGCATAACATGAAATTAAAATATACTGTCAATTTTGGTTTTGTTTCCTTAATGGATTTCTTCATAATATTCAGTTACATGTTTGCTTTTCTGTCTGCTATTATAGACTTTGCCCTGAACTCGGAGGCAAGAAATCTAGGCTCTAGCTCTGGTCCTGTCTGCAGAAATCTCAGTAACCTCTGTCACCACTGTCTGGGTCTTGTTTTCTTCTTCTTTAAAATAAAGAAGCCTGGACTCCCCTTGCAGTCCATTGGTTAGGACTCTGTGCTTCCACTGCAGGAGGTGCACGTTCGATCTCTGGTTGGGGAAATAAGATCCCGCATGCTACACAGCATGGCCAAAAAACTTACATAAATAAAATAAAATAAAATAGGGACTTCCCTGGTGGCACAGTGGTTAAGAATCCTCCTGCCAATGCAAGAGACACGGGTTCGAGCCCTGGTCCGGGAAGATCCCACATGCCGCAGGGCAACTAAGCCCTTGTGCCACAACTACTGAAGCCCTCGCACCTAGATCCTTTGCTCCACAACAAGAGAAGCCACCGCAATGAGAAGCCTGCGCACTGCAACGAAGAGTAGCCCCCGCTAGCTGCAACTAGAGAAAGCCCGTGTGCAGCAATGAAGACCCAAGGCAGCCATAAATAAATAATTTATTTTTAAAAAAATTAATCAATTAAATTAAGAAGCTAAATTAGAATGAGTAGTTTATAAACTGTTGGAAGTAGAACTCTTTTCATACTTTGTTTTGTGATTCATACTGTCAAAATTCAAAACATAAAGATATAAGTGAAACGTCTCACCCCATCCTGACCCTCAACAATTTATTCCCTACCCTGACAACACTAAGGTTCCCAGTTTCCTTTATGTCTTTTTCGAAATGTTCTCAGTATAAATACGAAGTGTATTTATGAAACAAGTATATGGATATATATTATATGAAATAAATATAAAATATATGTGCATATTTTTTAATGAAAATGGTGCATATATTGTTCACGCTATTCTGAGCCCTGCATAGCCCCCTGGTTTTGCTTGTTCACCTCCAGGGCTGGGGAACTCGGTCCAGGCTGGGACAGATTGAATTCGCACTGGCACCCTGTCACTTCCACCCCCTGGTCCTGGTTCTGATCCCAAGCAGGACGAGAGCAAGCTCACTCTCCATGGCGGCCTGCAGAGGTCTTCCCATCCCTGGAGCTTCTTTCCCCACACCCTCCCCATCTTGGCCAGAGCCCATCTCAACATTCAGGGCCGGGGTGGCTCTCAGGACTCCAGTGCTGCATGGTCAGTGCAGGGGGGTCAGTCCTGCATCACCAGCTTAGGGACCCTGTGCCTTTGCAGGCCCAGTCCAAGGTCCTGCCACACTAAGCAGATGGCTAGCCACTGTCAATCTGTCCGCTCGGCTCACACCATGCCAGCCCTGGCCCATCACTGTGCCTTGGGATCTTGGGCACCAAGGGCAAGACCTCAGTCATCTTGCTGAACCCCCGTCTGAGAGGGGGCTCCCTCGGGACCCACGTGCAGCTTGCTCGGCCCCTCCTGCCCTAAGCATTCGTCTCCACGATGCACTTGAGGAACATGATGTCGTCCTTCACGTAGGCATGCTTGGGCGACCGCAGCTTGTTGAGGGGAAAGAAGAGTGGGCAGCTGCTGGCCAGATTGGTTTCACTCTGGGGCAGTACTTGGCAGTGTAGACAGCCGGGGAGAAGAGGCTGGCAGTCCTGCCGCAGGCTGACTCATGGCACCGCCTGGTGGCACTGGTGACCTTCCGTAGGAACGTGCCATTGTAGGAGGCCTCTTCCGTGAGGCGGGAGCTCTGCCCCAGCTTGCCCAGGGCCTGGTCTTTCTGGGCCAGGGTCTGCTGCAGCTCCACCAGCCTCCGTTCCAAGCTCAGGATGTAGTCACGGTCCAGCCGGCTCTGGTGGACGGAGGCGGCCAGGGCCAGGTGGGAGGTCTCCACCTCCTTGTTGAGGACGGCGACAATGTTCTCAAACACGCACAGCTTCCCCTCCAGCTCAGTCAGGAGCTTCTCCTTCGTGAAGTGCTGCAGGGCCAGCTCCTCCTTGCTCTGGGAGCAGGGGACCCGGTAGCAGTCCACCTCTAGGTCCCCAGCCGCCTCCACAGGCCCCTGCAGCTGCAGGTCTGACAGATTCCGCTCCAGGGCCACGAGCCCAGAGCCCAGGCCAGAGCCCAGCTGGGTTTCACGAGCCCCAACAGGAGGTTCAGGTGTGTGGCCTGGGCGGTGACCTCACGCTCCTGCATGAACTTTGGGCTCCCCTTGAATGAGCAGCCAACTCCGGCAAAGGGGCCCCACTCCAGCCTCGGCCACCCCGGGCTGATCCTGCTTCTGAGACAGAAGGCTTCCTGGCCTCTTGGATGGGGAGTCGCCCCCTTTGCATTTGGGACAGATCCGATCCTCGCCATTCCTCACGTTCTCGGAGAGACAGACGGCGCAGCAGAGGGGCCTGGAATCTGGTGGGTCCTGGCAGACAGTGGGGGGCACCCAAAGAGGAACTCGTTCTCATCGGGGGCCCCTGTTCAAGCTCCTCTGGGGAGGGGACCAGCCGCACGGAGTCTGTGCTGGGAGAAGAGGTGAGTTCTGGCCGGGCCACCCTCCCTGATGAGCAGGAATCTGATGATTTTACCTTCTAGCTGGCTTGTGTGGTTCAACGTCACAGCAGGGATGAGACAGGAATTACCCTTTGTGGTGACTGCCGGCTCTAGGAGTGGCCAGTCATTCTTTTGAGCAAGAGGGAGGAGGAGAGCAAGTCAGAGAGAAAAAGGAACCGTGTCACGGACTTTCAGGAGCCACAGTTAGAGTTTCCCCTGTCGCAGGACCTCAGGCTGACGCTGGCTTCCTCCACCTCCTGCCCGGGGTACAGGGGCAGAAAGACCCGCAGTGGGTGACTTGTCTATGTTCCCTGCAACCTCGGAGGAGCCTAGGATTCTCGGTGTGGGTGTTCACCGCCCCAGTGGAAATCCCCAGGGTTCTGGTCAGGTCCAAAAATGCAAGTTCCATGCATATTAGTTCTGCCCAGAGTATCTTAGGTAAAAGTCACTTTCGCACGGCGGGTCTCGGTTACCCCATCTTGGCGCTGCCGCCACCTCCCAGCAGCCCCGCGGGAGCTTCCGGTGGCACAAGGACCCTTGGTGGCATCTTTACATTTTATCTTAATTTTCTCTATGTCTACCGGGGCTGTATATTACTTCTCTAATACACTACTTATAATATAATAGAACTCAAGGAATGTTCAATAATGAATCAATAATATAGTGATCTCAATGGGCATATACAATGCTTATCTTTTGTATCCATCATTTTAAGCTGCGTTTAAAATCTTTATTTATATACTGTAAAGTTAAGTAAAATGAATTAGAGCCAGTGAAGATAATTATTAGAGCCAGTGAAGACAGTGAATATAATTATTCACAGGGGAGAAATTCTTTGAAAATTGATCAGTTACTTCCAAATATATTGTCTTACTTTTGAAAAAAATGAAACTGAATTTGTTCTGTATTTTAAAGAAAGATGTCAAACCATCGACCCGCTTAATCAAAGTGGACTGAATTTCATCAAACTATTTTCCGAGGCTTCCCTGGTGGCGCACTGGTTGAGAGTCCGCCTGCCGATGCAGGGGACGCGGGTTCGTGCCCCGGTCTGGGAAGATCCCACATGCCGCGGAGCGGCTGGGCCCGTGAGCCATGGCCGCTGAGCCTGTGCATCTGGAGCCTGTGCTCCGCAGCGGGTGAGGCCACAGCAGTGAGAGGCCCGCGTACCGAAAAAAAAAAAAAAGAAAACTATTTTCCGACAAATGAAGTATTTATAATCATGGGCTTTTTTTGGACTAATTTTCTTTAAAGATTTTTTAATATATTATAGGTCACCCTTAACCTTTGATGAAACAACCGCCCCACTATGTAATATGATTTAGATGTATCATAAAAATTTCCCTATCCCTAGAATACCTTTTTCATTCAGTTCACTGAAGGCCCCAAATCCAATCTGAGATGTATTCCTTTGACTAAAGATTACTTTCATCTTTCAAAATGGAAATCTTTTGGAACATGACATAAGTTATCAAATAATCAACAAATTTACAGATCTACTCTGTACAAATGCTTTGAAGATGAAATTTATTGGGCTCTTTCCATGGATTTTCTGGTTATTGGGGTCTTAAGAAAGAAAAATTAAAGACCATATTGAGTGAAAGGGATTGGGAAAGGGAAGACTGAAGACAGAAGAATTTTCTTATCCTACATATTTGCTCATAGCTGTCATTCTTTGTAGCCCTACTGGGCAAGTACTGTATTGATGTAAGGTCCAGAGCATGTTGTTTAACCCTCAAAATCCTCTAAAACCAATAGATAGTTTTATTTAAGTTAACAAACATTTATTAAATCCCTACTGTGTGTCAGTAGGTGCACCTTTCCTAGGTGCTTGGGATACAGCAGTGAAGCAAACAGATAAAACTCCCTGCCGTATTTAAGCTTATCTTCTACCAGGAGAAGTTAAGTAATAAACAGTAATCATAATAAGTAAGCAAATTATATAGTTTTTTTTAGAGTGCAGTCCATTAAGTAGTCCATTAAGCAGAGGACTGACATGATTTGACTCATAGACAATTCTAACTCTGTATTAAGAAGAAACTGTAGGGAGGCAAAGTTAGTAGCAGGGAGTCCAGTTAGAAAACTATGGCAATAATCTAGGTGAAGATGTTGCGTTTGGGACTGGGGGAAGACCACAGGAAATAGGAAGAAATGATCAGATATATTTTGAAAGTAGAGCCAACAGGATTGGCTGATGGATCAGATGTGGGATATGAGAGAAAGAGCAAGAAAAATGTTGACTCCAAAAATGTAGGCCTGGGATCATCATCAAGTGATAGGGGGAAGACTGCAGGTGAAGGAGCTGAAGGAGAGAAGACCAGAAGTTCCATTTTGGACATGTGAAGTTTGAGATCCCCATTAGCCACCCAAATGGAGGTTTTCAGTAAGCAATTTGGTGCGCAACTCTAAAGTTCAGAAGAG